TTAATACAGAGACCATCCAAAAGCGAAACAAAAAAAATCAAAAGACAGATGAATAACAAACGGAAAGACTTATACGATTTTTTGCCTGATAAATGATTTTTTGCCTGATAACCGATTTTTTGCCTGATAAACGATTTATTATAGTCATTGTTAATTATAAAAAATCACGGGATACCGGATAATATAAATTATGGTAAGTGTGTGGCTGACTCAATATGTCATTAATGTCCAAGTATTTTTATAAATCGGGATATAAAAAAACTTGCTTTTTTTTAATAATTTTTTTGATATCACAAATAAACTTAAAATTAAGTTCTTCAATATGTAATTATGCAATCGGCATATTAAACTAAATGTAATTAAAAACAACTATCTTAATGCTTCTAACCGTAATCTATTTAACTTTTGATTAACATTTCCTTTTATCAAAATTTTAATCTTTATGTCAAATGTAACTCAAGCAATATAATTAAAGCTTAAGTCATTGTTTATTAGTTAAAGGTAATTCTCGCCTAAACAAAATTATCAAACCTGTTTTTTATTTCATAATACATTGCATAAAAATATCAGGTTAATATTTTACCCGAAAGTTTGACTCGTGCGAGTATCATTTCAGGGAGTACATTAAATTTTTGCCGATCATTTCATCATTTGAACGCGGATCCGGTATTCATTCCAAATATAAATACTGCATATTCAAAAAATACCTATTTTATTTTCCCATGCATTTTTTACAGAAAATAATATTGAAAATGGATAAAAATACATTTTTTCTTTTACCAAAGTTATCCCAAAACTTGCTGGAAATTTTGGAAGATGATGAATATTATGATATAACTATTGAAGTTGGTAATGACCCTCACGTGAAAATATTTCGAGCTCATATGAATATTTTATATTATCGCTCTCCTTATTTTCGAAAAGTTTTGTCATATAATAGAAAGAAGAATGATGAAACATTGATGCATGTTAAATTATCAAACCTTTCACCTGAAAATTTTCAAGTAATTTTAAGGTAAATTGTAATAAAGTTAATTATTTGATGTTGGCCTTTATTTAAAGATTTCAGCAAATTTATATTTTCTACCTCTAGATACATTTATAGCGGAAGACTTTCTTTGGAAGGGTTTGATGCTTCGGAAATTGTTAAAACCTTGGTTATCGCTAATGAATTAGGTCTTCAAGAGTTAATCACCTATTTACAATCTATTTTGATTGATAACAATGAAAAATGGTCGGATGAAGGTTTACATCTGATATATCAAACAAGTTTAGAAAGTGAATCTTTTCTTGTACTTCAAAAGGTTTTTACAGAATTAATTTCAAATGAACCGGAGACGTTCTTTGAATCACCTTATTTTGTTTCAGCTTCAAAAAAAGTTTTGATCTCATTAATTCAAAACGATAACCTCAATATGAGTGCATCTAAAGTTTGGGACTATGTTCTAAAATGGGGTCTTGCTCAGAATCAAAACCTTTCCTCGGATCCTTCTAGTTATTCACAAGATGATTACAATAGCTTAAAAGGTACTTTAAAAGAATTAATTCCTCTAATTAAATTCCTTAGTTTTGCTTCTAAAGAATTTATGGAAAAAGTTTATCCATATAAGAAAATTATACCCGAAGTATTGTTTGATAATACAATTAAATGTTTGACGGCTGAATATGATAAAAAAATTAATTTCAAATCAAGCATCATTTCATTTCAACATGCAGAGATAATCTCAAAATGGATCGATAAATTAGAAATTACAGACGAGATAGCTGCTTCTTATGACTTCAAATTATTAGTTAGTTTACGAGGTGAGCTTTCAGGAAATTTATTTCATGAATTGTGTGACAATAAGTTTCCGACTGTCACGATCATTAAGATGGAAGGAAGTGACGAAATTCTTGGAGGTTATAATCCAATCAAATGGGAATCTAATAGAATTTTATTTTATGGCAAACTAAAGATAGTTTTATATTCTCATTTAAAGATAAGAATGATCTTAATAATCATATTTTAAGTCGTGTAATGAATGAAAAGCATGCTACATATAATCGGATGCATTATGGTCCTGGATTTGGTTATTTAGATCTTTACATAAGTCCTTTATATGGTGCTAATAGATGTGTCATGTCTGATTATGAGAAGCCTATCAGAGAAACTAATGATAGCTTTAATGTAGAGGTTTGTGAAATATTTTTACTCACAAAAAATTGATGCGGATTAATATTGCAATTTGTTTCATAAAAGTAGTCAAATTAAATTCGCAAAGCAGATGTTTGAATAAGGGGGAGCAAATATGAAGTGATGTGCGCACGCTTATCCTATTCTTTATTCGAAGGGAATTATGAAATTATTACTGTGATTTATTTTCTAATTTATTTGATTCTTATATAAATAAATATCATTATTTGACATATCTTTTTACTCGAAAGTTATCTATTGAAAATTGTTGCTCGCTGAAAATATTATTAAAATAGGAACCTTATGGTATGAATTCATAATATTGCTATTTGAATTATGAACAATATGTTGCTGCAACAACTTAATATTAAAATGAAATGATTTATTTTCATTAGAATTTTATTAAACAAAATAAATATTAAAAAAAAATTGTAATAAATCAAAGTTAAATTTCTTGCGATGCTAAAGTAATGTTATAAATAAAAGTGAAATTTAAACAATTTAAAATACTTGAAAAGAATAAAAAGCATAAATATCTAATAAAATAGATATTTATTCATACTATTGCAAAAATAGAAATCATAGGTTTATTTGGTAGCGAATTTTATATATTTTTTAAAAATAAAATATACTATAAAATTATAAATTGAATATATATTTTGAAATGTTAAGGATCAATTGTCATGAAATTAATACTGATAAAATGCTACATGTTTATAAGTCCTAATGAAATATTTTAATTTAATAATAATATTTTTTATTGTTTAAAAAAATCCATTTTTGGCAAATCAAAAATGATTTGAATAAATGGGAGAGTTGCTATTGAAATTCGAGTTATAAACATAATAGCAATCTCCCATATTTTATTATAAAATACAGCGACTAAATTATAACCTTGCCAGATTAGTAGTAATTTGAACCCGGACACGGTCGGAAAATACTAATCTAATAATTGCCAGCCCGGACCCGCACTGGACCCGGTCCCGTTGCAGGCCATTACTGATTTGCAATATTCATAAATATGTTAGATGTCCGGCTACCACATAAATTAAAGTGAATGTCCATTATTAGCAAGATTGGTGTCCATGTTAGCATATGTGTAGTACAAAACCCCAGCTTTGTGGATAGTCCATTAAAGTTCCGGCACTCAAAGTAATTAATATTAGTGCAATTGACAGAAAAGTTGGGTTTCTTGAATACCAAATTAATGATTGAGAAAATAGAATTAGATTCAGATAATTGTGTCTTCTAATTGAAGTTATTATATAATCTAAAAAAAAATGATACTTGAAAGCCAACTTGACAGAACTCGACTAAGGGGACGGTACTTTCATATTTCAAATTATATTTTGTTGAATTTATTCATATTAATATATTTAATTCTATGAGGAATTTCAGATTGCTTGCATGGAATCATCAGCATATATAGATTATATTTCATTTATACTAAATATTTATTTATCATCTATATTACAAAATAAAACCATTACCATCGCTCAAACCTTTTTATGAAATATGTAATGTAATTTAAATTTTTCGATTTCGAAGATTTTTAACTTTTTGTTAATTTATAATATTCTCTTCATATTTTATTTACTAGCATATATGATTAAAATAGCTACTCCAAAAGTTATTAATTTCATTCCGTTTAATTTCATTTCCAAAGTTCAAATGTTCTGCATTCAATTTGATTCCGTTCCTATATGTGCATTACAGATAAACCCAACTTGATTATTTAACCATATAAGGTTCACGAACATATATGGGAAAAATAATGGAAAATTCTTTAGTGTCATTTTTTATAGGGCATATGGGAGGTTTGCTATTAAAATCGAGTACGAACAATTCGTAAAGTGATTTTAATAGCAAACATATATTTATTGTTGTCGCGTTACATATTGAAATATTTTATATTACTATTTTTAGTATTTGAAAATAAAAAAATGTTATATAATATTAAATTTCGCATCGCTTTTGTCATATTAAGTTGGGCGGACTTTATTTTAATACTTGATTTGACTTAAAGTCTGTGCCGGGTCGGCTTCAAAATTAGGACTTAAGCAGGCCTCTAATTAGAATTTTTATAAATTAAGCTAAGTTAAACTCCAATTGTTTAAAAGTAATGAATTTATTTTGAATTTTATAATTTTGTTTTATATATAAGAATTGATAAAAAATATATACATCAAAATTTTTGATTTATAACACAATAACTTAAAAATATTTGATAGGGATACTTAATTACTGTTCATCTATCATATTCTGAGAATACAACTTGTGTCAGTATTAGACGTGTGATAGTGTAATTTAACTAAGAAAAATATTTATATTAAATTTATTATTTGTTATTCGTTATGCTTTAAAATATTTAATTCGGTTAAATATTCGTTAATAACAGGTTAAATAAAAAGTTAAAATATTCGTTGGTTAATTACCCGATCATTGAAACTTAGGACTATGATAAATTTTGCCAGAATTAGCAAATATTTATGCAAACATAAAAATCATAATTCTGGCCGAAAATGAATTTCGGCCGGAGTTAAAATCAACTTTTTTAAACTTCTATCTATTGTTACTATCGAAAAGATCTGCAAAAAAATAATACATATACAATGGGGGGACAAGAGTCACCCGGTGACTTATGTACATACCGATTATTGCACATTACTACTCAAACTGGTAATTCAATGAAGCCCGCCCCGCATATAAAATACCCACGTACTTTATTTCTCAAAGAAAGATTAATCAACCTACAACACATACCTAATATTAATAAAGCTTTCATTACATCTCTATTTTCACAAAATATAATTACCAATAATAAATTAATCAAGAGCTGTATCAATTAAGAGAAAAAATATCAATGAAATGGATAGAAATAAATTTTTATTAAAGTTATCCCGAAACATGTTAGAAATTTTAGAAGATGACGAATATTATGATATTACTATTGAAGTTGGTAATGACCCTCATGTGAAAATATTTCGTGCTCATATGAATATTTTATATTATCGTTCCCCTTATTTTCGAAGAGTTTTGTCAAATAATCAAAGGAAGGATGATAAAACTTTGATGCATGTTAAATTACCAAACATTTCATCTGAAAATTTTCAAATTATTTTAAGGTAAATTGTGATAAAGTTATTATTTGATGTTACTTCTTATTTAAAAATTTTACAAATTTAATTTTCTACCTCTAGATACATTTACGACGGAAGACTTTCTTTGGAAGGTTTTGATGCTTCGGAAATAGTTAAAACCTTGATTGTCGCCAATGAGTTAGAACTTCAGGAGTTAATCCCATATTTACAATCTATTTTGATTGTAAACAAAGGAAATTGGTCGGATAAAAATTTACATCTGATGTATCAAACAAGTTTAGAAAGTGATTCTTATCTTGAACTTCGAGCGGTTTGTACAAAATTAATTTCAAATGAACCGGAGACGTTCTTTGAATCACCTTATTTTATTTCAGCTTCAAAAAAAGTTTTGATCTCATTAATTCAAAACGATAACCTCAATATGAATGCATCTAAAGTCTGGGACTATGTACTTAAATGGGGTCTTGCTCAGAATCCAAATCTTTCCTCGGATCCTTCTAGTTATTCACAAGATGATTTCAATAGCTTAAAATGTACCTTAAAAGAATTTATTCCTCTGATTAAATTCCTTGAATTTGCTTCTAAAGAATTTCTGGAAAAAGTTTATCCATATAAGAAAATTATACCCGAAGAATTGTTTGATAATTCTATTAAATATCTGACGATTGAATCAGATAAAAAAATTAATTTCAAATCAAGTATTATTACATTTCAGCATGCAGAATTAATTTCAAAATGGATCGATAAATTAGAAATTACAGACAAGATAGCTGCTTCATATGACTTCAATTTATTAATTAGTTTACGAGGTAGGCTTCCTGGTCATTTATTTCATGAAGTTTGTGGCGATAAGTTTCCGACTGTCTCGATAATTAAGGTGAAAGGAAGCGACGAAATTCTTGGAGGTTATAATCCAAACACATGGGTTTCTGGTAATATATTTTCCTTATATGGCGCAACTAAAGATAGTTTTATATTCTCATTTAAAGACAAGAATGATATTGATAATCATATTTTAAGCCGTGTAATAAATGAACAGCGTGCTACTTATAATCGGAATAATTACGGTCCAACATTTGGTTATTCAGATCTAACAATAAGTCAAGTTTATGGTAATAAATGTATAATGACTGATTATGCGAAGCCGATTAGAGAAACTAAAGATAGATTTGATATAGAGGTTTGTGAAATATTTTTGCTCACAAAAATTGATGCGGATTAAAACTGCTGCTTATTTCATGAAATAGTCAAATTAAATCGAAAAGATGATGTTAGCTAAAAAGATATGATGTGCTTATTCAATTCTTGAATTGATGGATAAAATGCAGAGAATTTTGAATTTTAATACTTTGATTTATTTTCTATTTTTTTTTCCTTATAAATAAATATCATTTTCCGTTACCTGACCTCTTGGACATTACTTTCGAAATGCAAAATCATTACTACTTTAATTATTAGGTCGATCCGCTCATCTAATAAATGCATTATGTTCAATGAGAGAATTAGTTATGATCATTTGGCGACAAGTATTATTTATAATAAAATATTTGAAAATTGATAACTCAAATAAAAGGAACTACATAATTGAAATTCGATTTTTTTTTATTTTTATTCGAGTTTTCATCAAATAAAATTACGGTGTTTAATCAAAGCTTAAATTTCTTGCAGCAGCGTATTGACTTAACTAATATAAAATTCTTATAAGAATATATGGAAGCTAAGCTATTAAAATCACCTTACGGGATATTTTGAGTAAACTAGGATTTGATTTTCACTGCGGGTGACTACGTCACCCACCCGTTTTATTTTGTATTTTAATAAAAATAATTTTATTAATATTTAGATTTAAATAGGTAATCTAGTTTCTGATAATTTCTCTAGCCTAATGTATTCTTTCTTTATTCTTTCATCAACTAAAAATGCATCAGGTGTAAGAGCTAAAATTTTTATATCATTTCAAGATTTACATCTGCTTAAAGCTACATATGATTGGCCTCGCGCGAACATTTGATTATTTAAATAAAGTGAGGTCTGTGGTAATGTTATCGCTTGTGTTTTATGAACTGTTAAGGAAAATGCATTTTGTAATGGAAATTGAATTCTACATGCTGGTATTCCATTAATATTGAAATGTGCAGTTTCTTGTTTATTCCAATATCAATAATTTCTTTGTTTATACAAAATGCTACTCTTACTATTTCTCTATTTTTGTCAATATCTGTAACTATACCAATGGTACCATTACAAATTTGCTTACTAATATGTTTGTTGTTAAGAAATATTACTCAACATCCTATTTGCAATCTTGTAAAAGATGTTAAGTTTGTTTTATATTTCATTAAGTATTCTGAACTTCCATGTTCTTGTACTTCTCCATTAATGATATCCTTTACCAATTGAAAATTAAAAATATTTAATTTCATATTACAAATTTGAATGTTAATTTGTTCAGCTGTCTTCTTATAACCTACAACATGAATTGTATTTATTTAATATATCTTCTAATGATGAATTATTTGAGCTTACTTGGTATTTTTTATTTAATAATTGCTATGTTGATTCTGAAATGTTTTCAAATCTAATATTTTCTAATAGTGAATATTATTTAAGATCATCTACTTGTCTTTTTGGTTGTTTTAAGAAAATTGGGTAAAATAATTGCTATATAGGTGAATAAAATGCACGATCTCTATTTACTGGTGGTAATTGAAAAAGATCTCCTAAGATTATAATACTTATTCCTCCAAATGGTTGTGAATTATTATGTAATTTAGAAAATATATTTGAAAGATAGCTAAATAATTCAGATAAAACCATAGATATTTCATCAATTATGAGAATTTTTATCTTTTAAAATTTTCTTTAAATGATTTATTGTTAAATGCTAATGTTTAAAAACCACCTTCTGTAGCATGAATTTTAAGGCTAAATGTATTATATAATCTCCAATATTTGTGCAGCAACGCCAGTTAGTACAAGTAGTAAATATGGATTATCTTTTTTTTGAAATTCTTATAAAAGATAATGAATAACATAGTTTTCCAGTTCTAGCAAATCCTATTATAAAGAAGTATAAACAATATTTTCTATTTAATAGATCTAGAGTTTTTATTATTCTTTCAATATATTGATATTGATCATCTGGTAATATTAACATTGTATTTAATGTTGTTATTAGTAATATAATTTTCATTTTTATTAATTGATTATAAATTATTTCTTTAAATTATGAATTTATTAAATTTATTAGATTTTGTAAGGATATGTGAGTTCAAAAAAATTGGTCATTAAAATTATCTATTTCTTTTTGATATTTTTTCTTATATAAGATACACTCATTTTGATAAATTTCTAGAAATCTATTTAAAAATATTCTTAATATATTGTAAAATTTCCTTTAAATTCTTCTTCACTTCTAGATCTAAATCTTAATAATAGCTGTTGATAAAAATATAATTCACCATGTGCTAGTTTTAAATATCTTATTCTTGTTATGAGTTTAATTTTTCTTTTAACAATATAATTTCCAATTTCATCTTGAAATACTTTTCTTAGAATTGTTATTTTTGAAGAAATAATATTATAGTTTTCAAAATATTTTTGATGATAATAATTCAAACTCGTTTTATTTTGATCTGTTAAAATATTTTTCTATTGAGTCAAAGTAAAATGGTGTATCATTATTCTCTAAATTCATTAACAATAAAATTAGAAATATTAATTTTTGTCTTATACTTGCAGGGTCTGTAATTAAGTATTGAACTTTAATAGAAGAATTATAAATAGTTTCTCCAAGAATTAAAAATATTAATTCCATTATTCCTAATCTGAGATCTTAAATATGTTGTTTATATTAATCACCTTCTTTGAATATTAAAAATATGGATAGGTTCTCTTTTTGCAATACATTTAATCATATATTTTGCAAATTCTTTTATTGTTACATACTGTATTGTAAATACATATGTGTATTTCAAATATAAAGTGTTAGTGCATGATATAATACTATCCATCTATCTTGTTCTTTTTTACATTTATAAATAAATCTTGAATTATTTGTATTTTTATATGCATATTCTTAATATAATTATGGAAAACCTTTCTTATATATTTCTCCTAAAGCAGTTAGTCTATCACATTTTAAATTATATGTATGAATTTGATGAGTCTTTACAAGAATATAATTCTATTTCTATTTCTAAATCTAGTAAATCTGCTCTTATAATATTATCATTTATCATAATACTAATAGATTTTATTGTCATAAGCATCTATGAAAATGAGCTACACTACAATTTTGAAATTTAATACATTTAAAAAAATGTAATATTTTTTCTCTATTTGTTAATGCTAAATATTTCCAAAGATTATTTTTCATACTTCTTAAGCTATATATAAAATGATGCATATAATGAAATAATTAATTAGTTGGTAATGTATCATAGTTATCAGTTTTAATAAAATATTTTTTAAATATTTCTATCTGCTTTTATTCATCGTTAATGTTATAAATAATTGAGGTAAACTAATATTATTTATCATTACATTAATATGATGTTTTTTTCTGAAAATATGAGTCTCCTATTTTGATAAAAGTTGATAATGTAGTAGTAATTTATTCATTAATTATTAGTTTGTCAATATAAAAGCTTTTTTGAATTAAATCAATAGCACATTATGACAGGTGAAATTTTAGATAGATTTAATTGGTAGAATATAAAGTTAATTTTATTACCATATAAATCTTTTATGAAGATTATTTTATCCATTTTATTACCATCGATCAATTATGCAAATCTTTAGATGTCAATTTTATTGCCTTTGATAATCATATAGATCATAGATATTCATTTAGTTACTTGTAGATCTGGCAACTTTATTGCCTAGCAAAATGGTAACTTTATTTCCTTCAATATATTTAGTTTAGTTAATTTTATTATTTATTCAACATATATAAATATCTCTGTATTTTCTTTAATTCTCAGCACCAATAAGATATTAATCTTTTAAGTATTGAATTTATATATTATATTAATAAAGAAGTATAATTAACTAAGTATAAAACTTATCCTTCGCAAACCCTTGAAACTATTATAAATTATCTGTGATTCTTTGTATTCGTGCAATTCCTTTTGTTAGTGAACTTATTATATGATATTGTATTGATTTACTGTATTAACTTGGAGTCTCTAAAGCATAATCTTTAAAATATCTTTGAATTATTTTTGTGTTTATTTTGTGTTTATTTCACATGTTTTATATTGAGAATAATTCTTTAACGTTATTGTGAATTCTCACCTGTAATTCTTTGAATAATTGTCTTGATTTTATTTACTTTTTAGAGATTATATTTGAAGTTACGAAATCCACTGTAACATTTTGGTACTCTTTATAAAGAACAAAAACAATAATTTAATATGATTTACATGAGTATTCAAGTATTGTTAAGATTAGAAAGTCAAAAAAGGATTAAAAGCTATTAACAATCACTTATTCAACTTATACAAAGACAGGAATAATCTATTGAAAATCAGAAGAGACTTATTAAATCAACTAAAAAATTTCTACTAGTATATAAATTGTGACCTATACAGTAAAATAAGAAAATAACACTCAGATAACTACTTCAAATATTTAGGACAAATACATCTCATAAAACCTTTTAATAAGTCTTATATAATTTGTCATTGACCATCTGGAAATCTAAGCATTCAATTTCAAAGATTCTATCAGTAGATTCATCAACAATATCGTGCGTATACATATTTATCTCTAAGTAAACAATATTTAAAGAAATAGGATAGTTAATAATCCTCATAATCTTGATACTGAATAAGCAGTAAAAGTAGCAATATTTTTAGTATTTAGCCTTAGATTTACATATTACTTTAAACCAAAAGTAATATATCAACATATTCTTATCATTTTATATAATACTAATTACTTTAATTATGGAGAAACTCTCTATCAAATCTTGCAAACATAGCTATAATAGTAAACCAACTCAATGCGTAGATAATACAAATTACTAATAGTATGACTAATGGATTTAATGGTATTAATATTCTAACATCACCTGCAGCAGGAAGTTCTATTGTAAAAGTTAACCCTTTCTATAGAAAAGACAGTAAAGATGTTAAAATATTCTTAAAAGCGAAAGAAGCTAATAGATGGTCAGATAATAGAAGAGTAGTAATTGCAGCAAGAATGTTAAGAGAAGAAGCAGCTAACTGGTATAATTTAGTAAGTAATACAATTAATAAATGGGATGGAGATGCAAATACAGGATTTAAAGAATGATTTTTAGTATGCTTCTCATTGTAAGAAAAATTACACAGATAGCAATATAAATTAATGAACCTGAAATAAGGAAATGAAAAGGTTAAAACTTACATCTCTAAATTTAAGAAGTTATTAAATAGAGTAGATGCAAGAGGAATTCCAAATGCCTTTAAAGTGTAAATATTCTTAAGTAAATTAAATAAGGAATTAGCAACCTTAGTCACAATTCAAAATCCAGCTGATTTAGATGCTACTATTATTCAAACCAAAACTGTTGAAGCCAGAAGATATTATGTAATAAAATATGATTTTAGTAAGCTAAAGTTGAAGACAATATTGAAAAATTGTCTAAACAATTTGAACAAATGGCTTTGAATCAAGTAAACATTATGGCCACATTAACCACTAATTCAGCTGAAAGAAAAAGTTACAATCCTGAAGGCAAACCAAGAAAAGAATTAATCTGTTTCAAATGTGAAGAAAAAGGTCATATAACCAGACGATTTCTTTCAGAAAAAGTTCTACCTCAAGATAACTGGAGAATCAGAAATGATGACCAAAACAGAAAGGAAGTAAATATGCTTAAACAAGATGTCTTCCCAGCAATTAGGAGGAAAAAATCTGAATCATAAAAAGAAACTAATGCCAGATAAACTTGATTTCAGATAATTAATGAACCAATAGAAATAATTGAATAAACACCTCAAATAGTGATAGATAGTACTATTAAGCCTAGAAAGAGAATACCTAGAGGACTATCACTTTTGGATAATATTAAACCTTATAACATTTAGGATGATCTTGTAAACATTAAAGCTAATGTTAATATAAGACAAATGATACAATTTAAATTATAGCAACAAAAACTTCTTCAAAGAATGAGAAGATCTAAATTAGAAGAAAATGCAGCATTTATTAGTACTTCAGAAGAAGAAGAACGAACTATAGCATTGAGATGTCATGTTAAAATTAAGAAAAATCCTGTAACTGCTATTATTGATACAGGAGCTACAATAAACATTATGATGCACAAATTGATGAAGAAAATTGGATTAGATATTGATGAACCTTCATAAATAATTATTGTTACTACAAATAGACAGAGAAAAAAAGCACTAAAAACACTTAAAAATGTGTCATTAATTATTCAAAAAATTCTTATCAAGATGACTTTTCAAGTTATTGATTCAACTGATCAAATCTTATTGCTAGAAATCGATTGGTGTAAGAAAAATAAAGTTAATGTTGACTTTGAAAATAATGAAATAATTCTCACTTCTGAGTTGAATAAAGCTATAATTCCAGTACAATATATAGTTAGAAAAAGAATTAGAGCTGTAACCATTGAGGATGAGCTCGATGAAATGATCAAACAAGAATTAGAATATGATGATAAAGAAAAAACAAACAGTTACATCATCGAAATTGAAGAACAAAAAGAAAATACTAACCTCTAGAATGAAGCTTGAAAGAAAGATTCAACTCAATCTTGAGCTAATAGAGTAGAAACATATGAAGAAGAAGTTAATCATTCCAAATATATACTTAATATTTTATATGATAAAGATGTGATATTTCTCTCAATTAGAAAAGGAGAAGTTATATATAGAATATGACAATCTTTTAAAGAAAAAGTGGGAGGAAATGAAAATCTAATGAAAGTAGCAGTACAAGAAACTAAGGAAACAACTGAAATAAAAATCAAGAAAAAAGACTTAAAATATCTATTCAATAATCTAGAATTCAATTGTAACATATATGCAATAAAGGTTCCTAAAGGAACTAAGTTAGAATAAACTGAGGAAGATAAAAATAAATCATAAATTCGTATTAATTTCTTAAAATATAAAAAGATAGCTAAATAAGGAAAAACTATCCCAACCCACATGATATTTATCAATGAAATATTGGATCTAATTATATAAAATAACTTGCTTAATAGTCTTGCAAAAACTATATAAGCTGAAATGATAAAAGAAGAAGTTGTGACTCTAAAGCAATAAAAGGAAATTAACATTTTGATAAAAGAAAATAAAGATAGATTCATTACCAATATCTCTGAAATAGGACAATCAACTAGAGTTAGAAGAATCAATGTAGCTCAACAAAAAATTGATACGAGAAATGCTGATCCAATTAGAAGAAATTATTATTGAATGACAAAGAAAGAATAAGAATTTATCAATAGAGAAATTAAGAAGATGCTATGTGAAGGAATTATTCAAGCATCTGATAATCTATGAACATTATCTGCAATTCTTGTAAAGAAAGTAAATAGAAAGAAAAGATTATGTATTAATTATAGAGGACTTAATAAATTCACGAGAGAATGATGCTTATTCTTTGCCTAGAATTGATGAAATCTTAGAAAACTTAAATGAAAAAAAATGGTTCTCAACATTTTCCTAACTAGTGAATTTTGGCAAATTGAAATAAATCCTAAGAAGAAAGAAAAAACTACATTCGTGATTAAAGAAGAATATTATAAATTTAATGTTATGCCTTTTGGTTTATGTAATACTTTAACAGCCTTTCAGAAAATGATAAATAAAGTATTAGAAGAATATATTGACTGATTTGTAGCAGACTTTATTGATAAAATTATTGTTTATTTAAACAGTTTTGAAGAACATTGTAGACATCTTCAAATGCTCTTCACAAACTGAGAAAAATGAATTTAGCATTAAATAAAGAAAAATGTGAAATGTTCAAAAGAGAATTATGATTCTTAGAACATAAAATTAATAAATATAGAATCTTACCAGACTCTCAGAAGATAGAGAAAGTTTAAGAGTTCCCTGTATTAAAAAATGTGAGATAAATTAAAGGATTTCTTGGATTAACATCATATTACTGAAATTCTATCAAGGATTTCTCAAAAATTACCAAACCTTTGAATAACTTGACGAAGAAAGGAATTGAATATGATTAGATTAATGAATGTCAAAATGCATTTGAAACCTTAAAAAGAAAACTGATACAAGCTCTAATATTAGAATATTCAGATTTTAATAAAATGTTTTATCTTTTCATTAATGCCTTAGGAATTGAACTAAGAGCTGTGCTTGCACTACTTTCTGCAGTTTTAAAAAATATTGAATGTATTTAATATATTCTTCTAATTGAATGATTATTTTTGCTTTTTCAGATTTAATTACTTCAGTTTAAAGTTTAAAAAAAAACCTAAAAAAATAGATAAAAATAAAAATGAATAAAATCATTTATTTAACTGATACAATATTATAATAAACTTAAAAAAAAGAATACCTATTTGCTAAAAAAACAGAATAAAAATAAATCAAAATTAAAAACATAAAAAAAAAATAAATAATAAAAATGAAAAGTAAAAAGTAAAATAAAAAATAAAAAATAAAAATAACATTAATAAAAAAAATAAAAAGAAAATAAAAATATTATAAAATTTAATAATAAATGCTATGAAATTTAATTATATTTTACAGTAGTAGCAGAAAAAACTGGCAGTCAATCAATATTTATTAAAATTGTTTGAAACTTAAAATATAAATAAACTAATATTACATTTATTATATATTAAAATTTTAATATTAAATTACATTGCCATTCCTTTCAATTACCAAATTTATCCTCCTTTTCATATTATTGACTAAATTAAGGCAGAGGTTTTGATTGATATTGAACCATTCACCCTTAATAATTTTCATAAAAATACTTTGTGCAACTAGTTTTTTCACTAATTCACTTATTAACCTTCTTTTTCACCCTTTTCTTGATAATCGCCTACAAATTTTCTATTGAATTCAGATTTAGGAAATATGACGGCCAATTGAGAACTATAAGACATCAATTTTTGAGAAGAGACATTGTAAGCTTAGCTTTGTGCTTCAGTTCATTATTCTGTTGGAATTCTAGGACCCTCTAAGAAGCTGATATGCTTGATCAAAAAGATTATTTGTTAAAATTTCACGATATAACTCCTTATTCATGTTTTTAGTAAACATGTAAAATCCAATGATTCCTTGCAAACAAAAAGCCTCCCAAACATAAACTTTGAATGGGTGTTTGACAATTCCACAAGTTAGTTTTTCTTCACCCTTTTTATAATGAACTAAAGTGATAGTGTTCTGCAAAATTAGATCGGATCGGATTTTATCCAAATCCAATCCGATCTGATTTCATTTTTCTGGATCTGAATCCGATCCGAATCTGATGGATCCATTAAAATCCAGATCTGATCTGAATTCGACGGATCGAATCTCAAATCCAGATCTGACAGATCAGTTTAAGTCCAAATCCGATCTGATCCGAATCCAAAAGTATTATTGAAAAAACGAATTTTCAGTTCTAAAAGAGATCTGAAAATGTTTCTTTTCAATGAAAGGAACCTTTTTGGCTCTAAAAGAGTTCTGAAAAGTCGTTCCTTTTCATTGAAAGGAACCTTTTCTGCTCTAAAAGAGTTTTGAAAAGTTGTTCCTTTTCAATGAAAGGAACTTTTCGGTTCTAAAAAAGTTCCAAAAATTCATTTCTTTTCAATGAAAGGAAACAAATTTTTGGCTCAAAAGAAGTCTGAAAATTCGTCCCTTTTCATTGAAAAGGAACTTTTCAGCTTTAATTCAGATCTGATAGATCAGATCTGAATCCAATCCGAATCCGACAAATCAGATCTGAATCTAAATCCGAATCTGACGAATCTGATCTGATCCAAATCTGAATCTGAATTAGATCTGAATCTGACAGATCTAATCTGAATTCGATCTGTCGGATTCAGATTGGATTCGGATCAATCTGAATCTGTGCGGAACACTACGCACTAGTATAAGATAATATAGAAGACTGGGATGCAAAAAGTAAGTCCTAATAAGAATTTAGCCTGCATACATATTTTGCAGTGCTAACTAATTTTATTGCATCCAGGTTTATACACTAATCTTCTATCAGATGAATATAAAGAACCAGATGCATGCTTTATACCCAAACATCTACTCGATTCATTGAACCCAGCACAAAATCCTTGTGATCGAAATGTTTGTATTATTTATCAATATTATTATTAATTTGTTAAATATGAATTTCATTGTGAATTTATAATTTTTTTAGGGGAACCCATGGCCTACTATAATTCTTGAAATTGCTTTCTCAGAAATACTTCAATATATAAAGGATAAGATAAATGATTATTAGCTAGTCCTAAATTGCTGTGAAGATGTGATTGTTATTAAAATAGGTACATGGAATGGAAGATGTCGTAATAACCAGATTAGACGTCCTTTGCGACATTTGCAGATTAGTATAATTTTGAGATTTTTTTTTACACTTCATCTGCTTAATCTATTCTTTTGTATTCTTGATAGTGCCTAAAATTTTGTCAGACTGCAACTCTTCAGCAGAATCCTAATGCTACAATATTTGATGCAATTGAAGAGGTAGAATTAGTGTATTTTTACAGTTGTTATTCTCTTGCTTGTTTAGCTCATATTATTACTTATCACTTCAAGATTGAGTTCAGTTCTGTATATGCTAATGGAAGGGAAAGCCATTTTTGTACTAGGCCTCACATGAAATGGATTACAATCAACCGTGATTGTATTTATGCTGGCTGTCCTCAACCTTCACAACTCTCTAATCTTTTTTCTGTCATTTCTTCAGTACCTTTCAGGCCTCCTCAATTTCCTTATCCTTTTCAAACACCAGGCGTTGTGATCAACCTATATGATATTCAACAATTGATTTTTCAAACTATGGGTCCAAATTGAAAGTGCAAGAATAATTTGTAATACAAAGTTTAAATTTATATATAAAATAATAAAGTGAAGTATTATTACATAATAATAATGATTCCTCTCTAGCATAGCAATTTTAGATAAAATAAATAAAAAGTATAGATGCTTAAAAAAATAAAAACCTGTAAAACAAACAACTTTAATTGTCTAATGTGAAGCTTGTAATGCGAAATCTAGGTTTGTTCTATTATATGTAATCCTATCTGTGATGAAAAAAAGCAGTGATTAAATTAAAGTTTTGAGTTTATTCAATTCTCGAAGATATTTCAGAATAACTATATATAGGTCTTTATAATATCAAACATACCTTAAAGCAATCCAGTTTTCTTCATATAATTCTTTCTTGAGTTGATCCTGTGTTTGCTGTTTGATAAAATTATTGGGATCCATTGTGAAGCTATATTGCAGATAAAATATATCAAGTTCTAGTCCATTTGGATATTCTTGTGTTTTTAAAAAATCAGGTTTGCGGATTAGTAAAGGGGCACTAAGATATTTTGTTAAAATCTCATGACACGGCTTTTCTCTCTTATATTTTGGGCAGAATGGACACCAAGTTCCTTGTTGAATACTATTAGGAATAGCTTTCCATTAATGTTTATTTTCACAAATCCATTCTAGCTTAGTACGTAAATTATAGTATTGATCTGAAAGGTAATCGCCATTTTTACTTATGCGAGTTTACGCATATCCTTAATTGTTTGATAATGACTAATGCAAAATAGACATTATTGTTTTCTATTTTTAATGTGATAAAGTGTATTTTACCATTGATGGTTAAATTAGCAATGCCATGTTAGCGGTTCGTCTATATTTTTATATTCAATTAAAAGGCATTCCCACTTTTAAATAGTGCAATTTCCTTTGCATCCTCAAGGGTTAGTTTTGCAATACCCGCATAATATGGACACTATAAACCAGAATTTTTAATATTATGAAACAGACTGTTCTAAATATGACTTTGATAGCATTTTTACGTCATCAGAATTTTAAAATTACTATATAAAGTTGAAAGACATTTACCATTTCGGCTAAGCATGATTTACTTAGCATCTTCAAGAGTAAGATAGGCATTTTCTGCACAATGTGAACACCATTTGTCATGATTTTTTATGTTATTAAAAGATGCATTCCATATATGACCTTTAATGCAATGCTATAGTAATAGCAATCGTTGATTAACATACCTTTCTGATAGATATTTTCCACCCCTTAATAGTGCAATTTGTTTAGTGATCTCAAGAGTAAGTTTCATATTACCTGCACATTGCAGACACCATTGTCCTAAATTTTTAATTCTAGAAAGTAGAGCACTCCATACATGATTCTTAGAACAACACCACATTAATGGAGTTCTATTATCTTTATATTCAGTTGAAAGACATATTCCATCACGCTTTTCAGCAATCATACATGTATCATTTAATGATAGCTTTTTCATTGTTTTTCAATCGTAGTTGAATCTCTTTTCGTAAATCTAATGGAGTATCAAATCTTAATCTAATTACAAGAGGATCATCCTCGAATTTATCTAAGTCAAACACAACAAATTCTCCCTTTCGTAAATAGCTGTTAATAACCATTAATGCATCTTTCATATCATTAGTATAACGTTTAATAATTTTTAAAATATCTTCATATGAGCTACCTGAGTTAAATATCACTAGATAGGAGATATTTTCACGAATAATTATTGGAACATGATGATATTTTTGCGTTATATATATTAGACTTATATTCTGATGACGCCTATGTGTGAAGAATGGAATAATTTAGTTTTAGATGAACTCAGAGGCTACACATAAATCCTCAAAAATAATTACAGTACTTCTCTTTGGAGAAAATGATTTTACACTAGGAATTTTTTCAGGTGAGATATATTTGAATTTTATATTTTCATAGTAAGGTGCTTTAGGATTACCTATATATACAGTATATCTAACAAATGCCTATTTTGGCTCATCTGGATGAAATCCACAAACTATCAAATCATCACACTTAATATATCAGGATCCTCCTTTTTTACTTTTATATATATTTTTAGCTTTATCTCCCAGAATAAGATTTCTAAGTATATTTGTCTTACCTGTACCACTCTTACCAGTAAATACTTTACTGAAAGGTCATGTTATTGCTGGATGTTTAACATTTCAGGATGATTCATGCTTTGTGGCCTCATCTATATCCATAAGGTAAAGTTTCATAGGTGGTAAGCTCAATAAGTCATGATTCAGAGAATCGCCTATAGATCTGCTTTGCAATAGTTCTTTCTTTTGGTTTTTTTGTATGACAGATTAGAAATCCATAACTCTGATTTCTATAGATTGAATAAAAAATTTCTTCCTCCTGATAATTTACTTCACTTTGTTTGCTTATAGTTGGTTTAGGTACATTAGTATCCTCACTCTGTGAGTATATTCCAGAAAACAGATTGCCAGAGGCAGTTGTATAATGGCTATAATCTGGCTTCGAGTTCAAAGAACGAGAAGGTAGGATTAGACGAAAAATTTTCCTGTATATATACCATATAATTAATATTACCACTAAAGCAAAAATAGTGAACTTAATGATAGGAGGAGTTTGATATTTATTATCGTTATTAACCATACCTGCACTTAATACTACAATAGGTAATTCTTTATTGCTTAACAATGACCTAGAAGGTCTACCCCTTCTTTTGTAATATTATAAATCTGAGGATTAGATTTAGCACTCATTCATACATTCGTGCTAATCAGAGTCATATTCTTTTTTATTTCTGGGATTTGATACTTTGTATCATCTATATTATCATGAGCCAGTATGGGAGTACTTACTTTTGAAGATTCGTATATAAGAATACTTTTATCTTTCTTTCTACATACAAAATATTGGGCAAGATTATTATGACTCGAAGAGTTGCCCTTAAAGGATCTGCAAAGCAACGGTTTTTCAAACCTATCAGAATTCGATATAGAACTTTGTTCCTCGCTCTGCATATTTTTTATTGTGAAAACAATGAGGCTCTGCCCCTCATCACCTCTAGTAATCACAGATCTTGACTATGCCACTGCTGATGTAGTATCTGATTTTAATCGTTCAAGCTCATCGATCTTAGAAGCCAATTTATTCTTTATATGCTTTAATTCAGCTTTAAGAGACATAATCTCAGAATCTTTTTTGATAAATTTTCCTGAATTGAAAATGCGTCTTTTTGGGCTGATGCTAACTTACTCTCCAATATCTTAATCATAGCCTGAAATGATTTTATTTCTTTAATTGGATATCATACCTGGCTTTATACTCATCACAGGAAATCTGTAATCAGGTAATTTGGGATGTAAGGTTAGTATTGTCCACTTTCAATCGTTTAACCTCATTAATAAGTTAACAACTATGCTTAAAAAGTTTCTCTTTATCTTTATTGGATCGATTTAGATCATATTGCATACGCTTATTGTCTTTATCTAAGACAGAACATTTATTAGCAAGTCGATTGCCATATTCTATAGCAATTTCTCGATCTTGATTTGCACAAGCAAACTGGTTTTCAGGTTCTATTCGACTATGTGAATATCGATTTGATGGTATGTTTTCAAGTTTTTTGCCTTCACCTATATCTAATAATGTATGGATTCGAGACATATTATCCAATTCTTATAGATATCTAAAAAAATTAATATATTTGTATTTTGAATGTAATATATGATATAAATAGAATATACGTATTAGATAGAATATATGTATTAGATGAAATATACATATCAGTTATAATGTATTAGATCAAATATATATATTTGTTATATAGAAAAATGAATAATATTATTCTGTATATTCTATCTTTCCAATATATTTTATTATTTCAATATATTTTATATTTTTTGTTAGATATAAACATCTTATATTTACATTTACTACTATGTCTAGAGTATGTATATGATCTGATGCACCCCTATTTTCTTAGAAAGATTATTCTTATATTATGCAATGTCGTGATATAAAACCAAAATATAAAATTTTAAATGACTTGATGGGTAAGTATAAAACATCAACAAAATGTATTTATCAGATTTGGAGAGGGGAAGAAGCTAATAGAGTTCTCTAAAATCAACCTATGCATCACGATAATAATGACGACTCTAATCAAAATTTAAATATTTTGCATAATGCATAAAGTATACAAATACAGTCTAATATATCTAGCCATGATGTGTCTACCTCTGACAATAATTCATCTAATATAAATGATATGATTTACTCTAAAGTTTTACTAGATAAATCAGCAGAGATAACACAACCAAAGATGAGTCAAAAACTCAAAGCTCAGCTTCCTCAAAATTCTAATTCCTCATGTGCAGTAAAAAAAAGTGTTTCTTCTGATAGGGTCAAAGTTCCATGTCTCAAAGAGACGCCCCCTACGGGCCTGCAAAGCAATAATATATCTAGAAGGAAAAACAATCTTGAAAAATTAATGAAAGACACTGAAAGATTAGCTTTTATACTTCCATCTTTATCTCAGTAAGCTGAGAACATCTTTCTGCAAGAACTTTACCTGTATTTAAAGCCATATCAAGCTACTCTTCAGTTTTTATGAGTTGCTTTTTGAGTTCATCATATTTTTCACAATTTACGCATTTTTTTTAGTCTTTCTTACTAGTCGAGCTAGATGAGATGGTAAATACTTAAGGTGATGAATCTTGCTTCTCTTTTGATAGATCCAATGCTTCTGGGGCCTTGCTAAAAGTTGGGATAATGTAAGACTTGCCATGTAACTTCATTTAGAATTAGTTTTTATTCAGGTCAGAAATACCTTAAACTTTTCGAATCCATGACATACCTAAACATAACATTGGTTCAGATTCACCATCATCAATATGTGTGAAATTTCTAATAGATGTAATAGTTTTACCATTCTTATCTGTTATACTGATTGGCATATCCGTAAACCATCCCAATGTTTCAGTGATATATTTAGAGTTACCTTTTATATTAAAGTTAAATGGCTTATTAGCTTTCCATCCCAAAGCATTAATTGTTGCATCATTTAAGACTCCAAACTCACTTCCAGAATCTAAGAAAGAATTAGAGATTGGCATATTATCTATTTTAGCATTCAGATATTGTAAAGATGAAAACCATTCACCTGATTCTTCCTCCTGAACTGTAAGAGACTGGTACATTTTTCACATTACTAGTGAAAGCTTTGAAAATAATTCATTATATGTTTTTGGCTGGTTGAATGATATGAAGTATTGAGTCTTCAACTCTTCTGAAGATAACTTATTTACTGGTAATATCCATTTTTTTTTTCGATGAATCATACCATATATCTTTTTTTTCATCATATCCATTATTTTTGAAAAGGATAATATCATTGTATTCGATTTGATTTGGCTACTGGTTTTTGGGGTTGATTGTCTATATTAAGACGAGATAACATATTTCCAATTTCATCTACTTTCTCCTCTAATCTAGAGTTATCTTTTTGCTGTAGACGAGGTCTTTAAAAAGGTTTTTCAGGATAATTTGAATCTAAATCATATATACCTAAATCGTTAAAAAATTTCACTAAATAATAATTTTCATAATCTTTTTTTGTTTTTAAATTTGATGGGAGACCTTTTGGTTGTCTAATCAGTTCAACTGGTGTCTGAGTTTTCTATGCTTTTTGGGATTGAACTTCCTTTCTTAATTTTTCTATCTCAGCATCAGAATCAGATTTCTGTTTTGCTAATGCCTTATTATAGAAAGATTTCTGTTTTGCTAATGCCTCATTATAGGAAGATTTCTGTTTTGCTAATGCCTTATTAATTATTTTTTGTATATCAGGTGATTGCGAAATTACTGGAGCTTCTATTATTTTAGGGTTATAGAAAAATTGTTGATAAATTTTACCTTCATTCAAATTTGGAGTACGTTCTAGCCACATATTTTTTAATTCAGTGAAAATGCATTAATACCAGCTGGATTAGCAATTTTTATCTATGTATAAAGCTCACCTGGTAATTGATTTTTAAGAAAACCTAAAACTTATGCATTATTGTCTACTACTCCTATTATTAGTAATCGAATTCTAGCTTCATAAGTATCAGAAGTATCATAAAGCTGATATCTTTCTTGAGTCAATCTTTGAATTGCAGATTGTTAGCTACCTATTGTTTTTCTTTAATATTTAGCATTTAAATAAGCTCGTAATGTGGTGGATGTATTTATAGCAAGATTTCCTAATGTAAAAGAATTATTTATAGGTATTAGAGCAAACTTTCTACCTATTTTGCTTTTTAAAACATCACATTTAACAGCATCATTGAAATCTCCTGCATTTGTATTTTTAAGAGTCATCATTTGAGATACTGCAATAGACCATGCTTGTTCTAATGTATTTACATAATCATCAGGTAGCATTTATTCTATATATTGTGAAATTGATTGAAAAGATTGGTATATTAATTTTAATACTGATCGTCGTCTACCTTCTGCTATATTTTGTGGGTTATTTTATAACAATAAAATTTGTCCCTGCAAATTTAAAATTAATTGTTCTGCATTTCGAGTTCTATTTTTCTACTTTCCCCATTTCAGATTGATCTAAATATCATATAAATGTAAATCATTTTCTAATGTATCTATTCTGATATGACATTGTTGTAATTCTAAAAAATACTGCTGGTATACAACTCTTTCATTATTATATGCAGTAGTTATTAAGTTGAGATCTCCTTGAGTTTGTGTTAACTCTATTTGAAGATTGTTATATTTGTGACGTATCTGTCATATTACTCTTTTTATTTGATTGGATAAAATTGTTCTATTTGTTCCTGAATTATCTAAATAACCATTAATAGTATTGGCTAACTCAGTTATTGTTGCCATATCTGGGTCAGATGTATAATTATCTTGAGAATTTTCATCTGATTCATATTTATTTTCTATATTCCATATCTGAGCATTTTGCAAAATTTTTTGAGTATTTATAAGTTCTACTCTATCTCAGTATCTCAATAATGTTAATGTAAAGTTTTGACAATGTAAATCTGTAATATGTCTTTTTTGCTGAGCTATTTTATTATTTCTATCTGTAAGATTATATTTTAAAGTATTAATCTCACATTTGAGACGTTTATTCTTATCTATTAACTTTGCTATTTGGTTATATGCTCTAGGTGTATTTCTAGCTGATTTGGATATTTCACGAATTCAGGTTTTCAACTTTTTTTCCCTTACATCAAATTCTGCTAGTTGGTTTTCCCTAGCAATAAGTTCCTTGTCTTTTTGCTTGATTTCTTTTTTAAGCTTGTAAACAATCTTTTTTAAATCTCTAATCTCTTTTTTCAACTCCGTTCTTTCTTGTATAGAAAGTTCGATTGTATTTGCTAACTTCTCCTCAAGATACTGAATTCTTTCTTCATGCAAGACTATATCTTGTTCAAGATTATATGTTTGACACTTATAATTCCTGTTTGATTAAGCCAATCAATTGATTTCATCGAGAAGTTCTTGATTAGCTTAGCGTAATTCATTCATGTTTTTTATTCACTATAATAATAAAAGTTATGATTGAAGAAACAAAGTTTCGAATCTCTAATTCACCTGTAATTTACATCGATCCGCAGAGGATCCATGATTTAGATAAGAAAATTATTCTACAAAAATTATACTATTGTCCTGAAAGTTATTATCAAAATGCTAAAAGATTACGAGATGCTTATAGAAAGGCTGGATATAACTTTCCACTTGCCATAATAAAAAAATGGCTTGAACCTCAGAAAATGCATCAAATTTATCACCCTTCACCAAAGAATATACCTTATACCAGCTATTCTAGGATCTCAAAACAAAATAGTGTATATATGTGTGATTAGTTAAAATATTATATAATGAAGATTTGCTTGAGAACATAAATTTATCAGATAAAAACAATGAAATATTTTATTATGTTTTATTAATTATAGATGTGCTAGTAGGTTTAGAGATTTCATTTTTTTAACATCTAAAAATAGCTCAAAAGTTGCAGATGCATTTAGAAATATATATGAAAATCTAATAATCCTCTCACATATTCTCAATTGTTGCAATGTGATAAGGATCGTTCATTTATGAATAATGTTACTTTATTAATGAATAAGTATGAAGTTAAGATTAGAAGAATCAAAGCTCGCTTTAGACATACTAGCTTAGCAATTGTTGACCATTATGCTGGACTTTTCACTTTGAGAGTTTTTAAGAATCAGTATACGATAGAATTTCTCTTACCTAGTAGTGAACGCTGTAAAGAGTGTGAGCAATTTGCACGTAAAATTGTTGATAATATGAATAATACCTCAACTCGGTTAATTGAAATGAGCCCTAATGATGCTATAAAACTTGAACGGGTATATTTCAAGCCATCAGTAAAATATAATCATCCGATTGGTATTAATGAATCCCAGTTGTCAAAAGATACTACTATTTGATTTTTGCTTACTAAAGGAGAATGGGAAAATAATCCTTTTGAATAACGCAGAATAACAGATCCAGTATGATCTCTCAACCTACATAAAATCTGAAGAATTGTTATCAGAAAGAATCCTCTAATGCCTGTTTTATATTATTTAGATAAGTCAGGACCTCAGCGTCACTTCGTAAGAGAATATTTAATGCATATTAAGGAAGAGCCTATATTACCTTCCAGTAGGTCTTAGAAGATAACTGAATATGATCAAGGCACTCTTAATAAAAGTTGGCAAATCAACAACACAATAAGGGATTGTGATAAGAATTATACCCTCTTTGAAACAAAGTGCCCTTTTTTTCTAATCACGTTGAATTTGTGCATCTAAATCACTTTGTCCTTATAGATGAAAAGAAAGAATAATTTGAAAATGCTGATTGCCACTATACTCAAAAGCTAAGCGTAATTCCTCATTATATTCATCAAATTATAAGCCTCTTAAAAATTTAGGTTTCAGAGTAAAAATTTTTTATGTAATAACTCTTCGAAGATATATTAACATATCCTTTCAAATATATAAAGACATCTATTACACTATTTATAATTTTGTTTCATATCTCCATAAGATGCTTTCCATCAATACTAATTCTTACAAATCTATAAATAAATATCTGAATTTGATTTGACTTTAGCTAAGCATTCACCTTCACGTCTTTTGGCATAAATAAAGGCATTAGTATCAATCTCATTATGATCTTACATTTTTATAGTATATCAAAAAAAATATAAGAGTATGAGAGTATAGACGAGGTTGCTTTCTTGGAATATAAATGAAATTTTGAGGCTAAAATGAAAGTTCTTACTACTCCGTACAAAAAAGAGCTAAAAAATAAATCTTTAGCAATCATTGAATATGCATAATCATTATAAATTTTTCAATAAAGCAAGTAAAGGTATCAAGACATTATCATCTAGTTAAGTAGTAATTTCTGGAGAAGAGAGATTGCTACATTTAGCTAGTCATTCATCTCAGATAAGCATTTTTTATAATAAGTATGAGAAAAAATTCAAATAAAAAATTATTATTCCAATACCTAGATCATATAAGAAGTTTTTATATCGTATGAATTATATTTATCAAAACGGATCCTGATCATTTAATTCATATGTCTAAAATATGTAAGTGCTTTCAATATATGAGGTAAGATACGTATTCGATAACTATTTTTGTATTGCACGACAGACCATTACTGAAATTCAAAATATAAGATTGCATACAATCAGTGTCCGGTCAAAGTATAATTACTAATATTATAAAAATATACTTTGAATAGATATCAAATAAGTATAGTTTTAACATATAATTTGAAAAAATCAGTGTCTGGTCAAGGTATAATTATTATAGAAAGGGCGCTTAAGTACAAAGTATACTATTTTAACTACATAATTTGAAGAAAAATTAGTGTCTACCCAAGGTAAAATTATTACAGATATATATATTATAAAAAATTATGCTTTGGATGAACACGAAAATAAATGATAACAATTCAGCACTACGTGCTTCATCATCAAATGCTTTGATGCATTACCAAATATGTTAACGATTCAGCACTATGTGCCTTATCATCAGATGCTTTGCTATACTAGATATGTTAACAATTTGGCATTACGTGCCTCATTATCAGATGCTTTAGTGTATTACCAGATATGTTAACAATTTAGTGTGTCTCATTCTTGATCGATACTCAAGTGTATTATAATAGCAATTTAGCAATCAAAATCAGTATACTTTAATATAACGTAATCGATAGCATTTACATGATATAAGCGTACATATTTGGTAGCATTAATTGATAGCATAACCAGCTATTGTGTTATAGCATAACCAAATAGTGTATATATAGTATGTCCAGATAATGTATATATAATGTGTATATAACGAACTTGATAGTACTAAAAATGTGACGACGTGAACATAAAATTGTCATCATATTTTTTATAGATCGTAGGTATCCAAGCGTGATAACATGAATACAAATTTGTCGTTATATTTTTTATAGATCATGGGTACCTAAGTATGATGACGAACTCGTGAACTAATCGTCACTCAAATAATGACGCATATATGATCCTATCATCATAAGTAGGTAACAGTATAACGTAAGTAGATCTCATTATATATATAATGAGATCTACTTCTTCTAATTGTTTTTTAGTACCCTATTTTTACCAGAAAGTACAGTATACACTTCTGCATTTGCTTATTTAGTTTAAATATCTATGTTAATTTTTTATATATCTAATAACTTCCTACTCGCTGAATATATTAGATAAATGATTTTGATCATTGATTAATTCTATCTGGCTATTTTTATATTATTTTATATATTTTATATCTTGTTTCAGATAAAAAAATAAAATTTAATAAATGTTGTCTAACTCATCTATATGATTAGTTTTCATCGAAGATGTAAAATAGTTCTACCTGATTATATGGTTCTCTTCTTTTTCGCATATTGATTATAGTGTATCTCTTAGATGAGAAAGTATAGTTATCAAAACTATGCCTTAATGCTTTACTGGCATAAGTATTAGCTTTGACACATTTTTAGGTCCATATACTATGAAAGCAAATACTGCCTTTAATTTATGCAAATAGCTTAAAAGTAGTAGTTTATCACTTTCAGAGAAAAATTCATCTTATTTAAAAATGCATTTAAGTATACAGATCTAGACTTTTTAGGATCTCTTAACTATCTGAAAGAAATTATTTCTTGAATCTATGTAAGCAATTGCCTTGCCTGCTTCTTATTATTTTCAGTAATTTAAATATTTAAAGAATGTCTTATGCTTCCTATTTTTTGCATATCTAGTTACACTTCCATTAAATATGTACAAAATTTTAATTTTAGTAGGACAGATGCAGAGCATGATCATTACATCTGCTAAAGCCTATTTATCAGGTATATTAAATATGTTATACTCATCTTAACTGATTCTAATGAAAAGTGATCCAGAAAATCAATCCCTTCATTTTTACATTACTCACTATATTCCTTTAGATTTTATTAGATTCTTTGATTATCTCTAAAATCTTTGTAGCAGAAATTATTTTTTTTAAAATATTGAGGTTTTCTGATTCTCTTTGAAGTTTAAAGAAATAGTTCGAGCTAATGATAGAGCTAGAGGCAGTTTTGATTAAAATTTTAGATATCACTTTTATATTTCTTTCACTAAGATTATCCAGACAATATACTAAACTGTTTCTTTAATAGTCTCATCTTCTATAGCATGGCATTATCAGATACTAGACTAATGTTCACTTTAGCTTCTATTTCTAGTTTTTTTAGAACTAATACTTGAATTATGTACCGCTCAATTATCTGATCAGGAATTGATGCGAATACTTATTCTTTACTAAATTTATACACTTTTTAAAGATAATTATGAGTCTAATACCTTTTTTCTCTATTATCTTCTAAGAGATCACACATTTCTGATACATACTGATTAAGCTCTTCAATATTCATCTTATTGATGAGTTTGTGGTCTGTAACAAACTTAATTGTAATTGCAAACATTATGTGATATATAGATTATATGTAGTAGTTAGATTAAATCTGTGATATTCAGATTATATTATGTAGAAAAAAGTTCAATTCAAAAATAATTATTCTGATAATTCACTACATTATAGTCAGTAAGCAAAAATATTATTATAATTTATTGTGAGCCTATTCATTTTGATCAGAATGTTTTACATTAATATGAAATTTGCAAATAAATAAGATATGTGAAAAAATAATAATAATTTAGAATTATATATTGCCTAGTTATAAAGAACAAAAAATCCCATTTCTATAAATAATCTATTAACCTACTCTTATTCATTCTTTACCAAAGCATACCATTTTATGAAGTATACTAATTGTTTTTTTTTATTTTTCATCAGTATCAAGTTAAGAGAATATAATTCCTTTTTCCTCAAGTCTACAACAGATAATTTCTTTTCCTATTAATCTTTCCCATACTGTTACTTTTATATATTTATTAGATCTTCTTCTACTTCTTTACTTAATTACACATCTGAACGTCAGTTTTCATCCTATCTCAAAATGTAATAGAATTGAGTCAGTCTTTTTCTGTGATAGTTACAATGACATCTAAATTTTTACTGAATTTGACTGCCTTTTTTCTGAGATGCTTTTTTCGCTATTGTCTAACCAGAAATGTAGAAAAAGCTTTTTTATTGCTAGGATTGATAGACCCAGTTTTTTTAGAAGGTGTATTCATCACTTTACTTATAGGATTAATAGATTTAAGAGGCTTACTAGCTTCAGACTTATAGATTATTAGCTCAAGTATTTTAGAAGTCTCAGATGTGTCAGATGTTAAGATGACTGAAGTTTTGTTTTGTCACATAGTCAAAAAGCTCTTAGGTTTCATTGACCTATTTATTTGCTTTCTTATTCCTCAAAAGGGATTCTTTTCTGGTTAAGATGGTTGAAAAATAGTTAGTTCTTTTAGAACTATTTCTGTATATTAAATAATATAGGTATATCTGTGGTCTTATTAAAGAATATGTCAGCTTGAGATATATCAAAAAATTCTTTGATATCACCTATTGTTTCATATATCTTAGCTACGATTTTAGTTCAATTGAGAATATATTACCATTCTCTTTTTGCCACCAGCTTGTGCTTATTTACTCTTAATTCTAATTTAAAAAAACTTCTTTTTAGTAACTTTACTAGTCAATAGTTTTTCTCTATCTTTCTTATACCATTCAAGATACTTCTGATATAATGCTTTTTTTATTTAACTTGATTATACTATCTTCACTCTATAAGAAAATATAGTCAGTTATAAATCGAATAGGATTAGGAAGTTGTTCGCATATTATATCTACTTTCATTTTAATAGTTAAAATCTCTTATAGACTCTAATCTGAAAGATTAATACTAAGTAAATAGGTTATAACTACATTCAGCGCATCAGAATATTCTAGTATTTAGGCTAATCGTTTAAAATATATAATGTTATCCTTATATTGAGAAGATACATCAAAGTGCACAATATAATAGTCTCTTATTTCTATTTGAAGTGAGACGTCATGATTACTTAGAATTATAAATTCTACATAATCTTTTATTACTTTAGGTTCAAGATCTTTGTGTTCAATTATTAAGTAATCTTCTGTAATAAGTGATTTAAGATGATTATTATACTTATGCTAATCTGCTTAACATATTTGTTTCATTCATGACTATCAATTTTCAGGTCTAAATGCAACTATTAAATCATCCTAATATTTTTCTAAAATCAGAAATTACGTAGAAAAACTTTGGGTTAAAAACCTTTTTACTTATAAAATCTATTAAAATATTTTTTTCGCATCTTAGAAAAGAATGTAATACCTGAATTATATTAGGCTTTTTTAAATGATATTAAGCTAAATATGCCTACCAATTTTAGAAATACTTATTAAACCCTTCATCCTCATTAGAGATTACATTTTTTGCATATCAAAAAATAGAATTCATAATATCAGAATTAATTATATTTATCGACTGAGCTTTTAATCTCAGAAAAAGATTAAAGAACTTTGTATTGGATGCTGATATATTTGGTGAATACAGAAGAAAATCAATATTATGATAAAGAATTAAACCCTTGATAACTATCTGATTTATTAAATTAGTCAACTTTACTGCTTTATCTTCTAACTCAACTATGCTAACTTCATACTTGGTTAGGTCTAGTTTTAATAATATGTTAAAATAAAGTCTACTATTTGTATCTTCCATTTTAAACATCCATAATTTTGAAGTCATTTGAATACAGGCGATCATCACCTGAATTACTTCATAAAATCTATTGCGAGAAACATTTCATTCAGATATACATATATCAATTAGATCTTCTATATAAAATGGTCATTTGAATCAAAAATTCTATGCTGTTATAATTTCACTAGACTCAGAAGCTTTTTCTCTTGATCTAAGATTATTTTACTAAAAATAAGTTTTTCAAAAATTTTCTTGATCCAGATTACCTATATTGGTTGGCACAATAGCAGAAAAGGTTGTAAGATTTTTTATTTTGAATAATATATGCATTATCACTTGTATATTCCTGATCACATAATAGGCATTATAATAGAGAGATGTGTAATAATAAAAATTTATTAGAAAAGTTATTTGATAGATATGAAAGATTATACCCTTTAATACTAGCTTCTTTGATTAGTGTTTAACTTCTAGTTTTAGAACATTTAAAAGAAAACTCTCTTCGACTTCTGACTTATTATTAGACAAAGCATAAAGTCAAAGAGAGTTTTATCTTTTAAATGAATAGATTTCTTTATACAAACATATTCTTTAGTCTTTTTGTCAAACTTAGGGAATCCAAGCATCTGTAAGGAAAAAGACCTTTTATTTGCAAAATTATCAATAATGGTTTTCTTCAGTAATCCTACTGGGAATTTCTTGCGAATAAGTTCAGTGAATACTGCAACTTAAGCAACTAAAGCTCTGAATAGTTCAGTTTAATTCATATTAGATTCCAATTCGTATCTGAACTGAAAATTTCAGTTCAATTCAGTTTAGATTATTAATCTTAAAAATGCTAATCTGAATTTGAACTGAATTGCAAACTGGTAAAAATCTGAACTGAACTAAAATTTTCAGATTAATCTGAAATTATAGTTCGATTATATAAGGAACCTGCAATTTATATACGAAACTCTAGAAGAATCACAAATAATTGTGAATTTCTTTTTAAAGTTCACGAAAATTTACGAAATTCAATGAATAATTGCAAAAATTTACAATTCTTCAAGATTTTTGCATTTTTTTTGCGAAATTCAAAGAGAACTCACAATTTTTTGTGATTCTTCAAGAATTTCGCAATATTTTTTGTGAAATACTAAGAGAAATCACAAAAATTACGATTCTTCAAGGGTTTCACAATTTTTTTGCAAAATTTG